CTGGGGGATTGAACCGTGGTCCCTGTGCTTTGGTAAGTTTGTTCTAAGTAGGTGCTTTAGACCACTGAGCCATCTCACCAGCCCCTAAGCTAACTTTTTAAATTTTATTTATTTATTTATTTATTTATTTATTTATTTTGGCGGTACTGGGGATTGAACTCATGACTTTGAGCTTGCCAGGCAAGCACTTATTCTACTGAGCTATCTCCCCAGCCCAAGTTAACTTTTTTTAAAAAGCCAGAAACACAAGGCCACTTATTGCATGGTCATTTAAATAAAATGTCCAAAAATAGGTGAATGGCCTACGAAAATTAGGGGAAATGGAGCTCTACTGCTAAAGAATAAGAGGTCTCTTTTTGCAGTGATGAAAATATAAAAACTGGTCATAGTAATAGTTACACAGCTCTATAAATATGCTAAAAATAGTTGAATTGTATACTTTTAAGTGGGCAAGTTTATGGTATATGCATTATATCCCAGAGTTGTTTAAAGAATGGGGTTGAGGAATATAGCTTAGTAGAATGCTTGCCTAGCATATGTTTGAATTCTAACATTGCAAAAGAAAAAAAAGTAGCTGGGTGTGGTGGTACAAATTTATAATCTTAGCACTGGCGAGGCTGAGGCATGACAATTGCTATAAGTTTGAGTTCAAGGTCACCCAGAACTATATAGTGAGACCCTGTCTCAAAAACCAGAAAAACAGAAGTGTTTGGTAAAACTAAAAAAGGAAAAAAAGAAAAAACCCTGCATCTAATGCTAACTCCTAGACACATATCTCTAATTTTAATAGTTTGATAACTGAGTGTATATGTGAAGTGTGCTAAATTAAATTACAGATTTTGAAGTTGACAGAATTTTAAAAATCAGTATAATTCCTTGTTGCTAGTGAATAACAGAGGTTCTCTTAGGGTTAAACAGTTTGCCTAAGGTCCCTCAGCTGGTTGTTAAAGTGATCTCCTGACTGGAAAGTTCTTGTTTTTCCTCTGCTGAAGAGGCAGGTGCTTTAATAAGAGACTAAGCTAAATCCCTAGCCCTGGCTATATTATTCCTTCCATCAGTTTTGTAATGATGCTATTTGCTGTTATTCTTTTTTTTTTTTTTTTTGAGACAAGGTCTCACCATGTAGTCTGAATTGGCCTAGAATTCTCATCAGTCTTCCTGCCTCACCCTCGTAAGTGCAGGGATTGCTGGTATGTGCCAGCACACCCAGATGTATTTATTTAATTTTGATTTAAAGTTTTTCTCCACGTGTACAATAATGGAAGATTTTTATTTTACTAAATAGTTATTTTAAAAAAAATCAAAACATTGGTCTGGATTTTCCCCTCAGTAAATTGACTGGTAGTATTTAATTTTTTTTTTTTTAATTTTATTTGTGTGTGTGTGTGTGTGTGTGTGTGTGGCCAGCTTAGCCCACCAGGGGGCGGGGCGGGCTGGCATGTGGTGCTGGGGGATTGAACCGTGGTCCCTGTGCTTTGCTTAGCTTAGCTTGTTCTAAGTAGGTGCTTTAGACCACTGAGCCATCTCACCA